TCTGTTTGGTGTTTGATTTCTCCCTCCTGGGACAGCCAGGACACAAGCAAATAATGTTATTAAAGCTGGAAATGACCTTCAGAATAATCTAGTTCAAAACCTCCATTTTATAGAAGGGCAAACTGAGTCCAGAGAGCGTGTTAGCCCAGCACAGCTGTTCTGCTACACCCTGGGATCTACACTAGACTCAGACCCCTGGACTTTCAGACATGGATCCTCTTCTTGCCCTGGGAACAGCACAAATACTGGCTTGGTGGTCTCCTGTGTTTGTTTGTGAGGGTGTGTATGGCCCCTTGGTACCCTACAGCAGGCAATGTTTGGGTGGCCAGGGGCTATTCTGCCATCATTTCCTAAGAATGTATCAAGGATCTGAGTCTGTGATATGTAAGACTCCAGCATCAGTGGGTGGTAACTCCTTCAAGCAGAAGGCTGAGAATGGTTTCCATGGAGACCACCCAGGCTCTGGTTTCCAAGGCAACACTTCATGAGGTTACAGCAGCTTCCTATTTATGTCAACTTAACATTTCCAACAGCTCTATTCTTTTGGCCAAACCTAGACTGAATTCAAGGCTTCCTTTCTGGGACAGTAACAGAATTCAAGGACCAGGGGGAAATCTAGTGAGTCTTGCAGTTAGCTGAAAGGGAAGGGCCTCTCTGCCAGTAGGCTCCCTGCAGTCCAGGGGCAGGTGTGCAGACAGAGACAAGCGTGAAATTTTAACATGGCATGGGAAGATGGGAACTCCTACATCTCACGGTCAGCCCCGTTCTCCTAATGGTGTCTTGAGGCTTAGAGCAGCCATTCAGAAACAGCAGATGCAATAGCAGATGCCCATCTATTTGTATAGTGAGCTTTCTAAAACTCACACATGTGAGAAATAGGCACCTACACGCACACGCCTGCCACCATTTAACCCTAATTATGGATATTAGAGAAATCAGCACAGATAAACCTACCTCACTGTTTGCAACAGGAACAAAATACTGTACCCTTTGTGAAACCCCATCCCTAATAGAGGGGCTGCTTTCAATCTCTTGCCATTACAACCATAACAGTTCCTCTTTGTATGTATATTTCCATATGCTTGTTGGTTACATCTATGTGATACAAAGAAGTTGCACAGCTGCAAAATTTCTGGGTCAGACAAATGCATCACATCGTAGAATTTCCACTGTCAGACCGCTTCAGCGCTAGCGCTGGTCAGGAAGGGTTTGTATGAATGTGAGAAGAGAGCTTGTTATCGGGGCTTGTTTGTTTGGCAAAAATAAATAAGTCACAAGAGCAATCCCCCCAACTCAAGCCGGCCAAACTTTGACACAAAAAGCCCCCATCAAAGACTCTATAAGAAGAGAAAAAGGCATATGCAGCGGTGCTGATCAGTGCATATCTGTAACTCCTGAAAAAAAGCATGGGAAGTGAAATGCATAGCACAGAAGCATCCAAAATGCACAATGGACAAATCAGTCAACAAAGTCAATGGATTGATACAGAAAACAAACAAAAAACACTTAATAAAATAGCTCACTGCTAATCTCTGATTTCAAAAACAACACTTTGAAAAACAGAATGCTTTCCTAACATCTGAAAACTACATTCAAGATGAATTCCTTTTAAAGTCAAAAGCAATATTCTGGTAGCTATTACCATGGTACCTGAACTTCTTGTCTGTGTGGTAAGCCTAGAAGGAGTAAATCTTGGGGCAGAGGGTGTGGCTTAGCACGAGAGTGCTTGCTGATAGAGCTCAAGAGTGTGATCTCCAACTCCACAGTAAAATAAAATAGATCAGGCAAAAGGAAAATTAAAAGTTGAATTATTTGAAAGAAATAAAATTTATTCATAATCAAGAGAACAACATCTATTTGTTAGAATAAGAAGCACAGCTGGGAGATGGTGGCCACACGCCTGTAACCCCAGCACTGGGGAGGCAAAGCAGAGGCAGGTGGGTCTCTGCCTTTGAGGCCAGCATGGTCTACAGAGTGAGTTTCAGGACAGCCAGGAATACATAGAGAAATCTTGTCTCAAAAGACCAAAAACAGAAAAAAAAAAAAAAAAAAAACCACACATAAGTTTGCTGGATCATTACTACAACTCAGATTGTGTTTTTATAAACTGTAACAATAATCTACATATATTAATACATATAAGGAACTTGTGAATCAAGCTAATTCATGAAAGCTTTGCCAGGAATTTCACTCAGGGAAATGGAAAACTGTTTTGGAAGATATAAAAAGCCAAAATTTAAAAAAATGTAAATATCCTGTTGATAATGAAATTATAATTCCAACTCTCCCTCATTAGGGAAATTTCGTGAAATTGGATTTTTTATTTTAAATGTATACGAGGAACAAAGGGCCACAAAAAGCCACTGTGGTGCTAGATAAACCAATGCACGCTCACCCAGCAGACAGCCAAACTTGTTTTTAGTATGGCTTGGTTCTTGAGTCAACCAGTTGACCAGTCAAGCCAGACTCAGCTCTGTCAACGTGTCCTCAAAAGCCAAACTCCAACAGGAAGAAAAGTAAACATATCCCAAAACTGGTCCCAAGAAGACAGAAAGAAGTGTGGTCCTCAGAGCACTGTCCTGGAGAGCTGGGGCACAGGGATTTCCAGAGAGAGGAAAAGCAGGTGCAGTGTGCTGACTGCAATCAGTGAGTGCCAGCTAAGGTTTAGCAGAGTCTGTAACCGTCTTCCTCCTTTATGGTGTGTATTTCCTCTTTCTTCTCTTTGGTAAGAACATGGCTATTAACATTGACTCCTAGAGGCTAGGTCTGCATTTCATTTATACAAACATGGTTTATTTTCTGCAAGTTAATTGCCTCAAAGCATTTTATATGCTTTATTTGTTTGCACATAAAGGGAGTCAGGGAGATGGCTCAATAGAAGAGTGTGTATTGCTCTTGCAGAAGACATGACTTCAATTCTGAGCACTCATGTTAGACAGGTCACAGTCATCTGAATCTCCAGCTCTAGGGGATCTGATGCCGTCTTCTGGCCTCTGCAGGCACTGCCACTCATACACATACACAAACACATACACAAACACACTCTCTCTTTAAAAAACAAAGGAGCCTTAGACATTCTGATATCATGTGGTAACTAAACACTCTGAGTTCTGGACAGCTGTAGAAAAAAAAAATCAACAATTAGTATCATTACTTATCTATAGACACAGCCCTCACTGTCCTGTAAGTCACTGCATACATTAGGCTGGTCTTGAACTCACAGAGATCCACCCGCCTCCACCTCCCAAGAGCTGAGATTAAAGGCCTGAGCCACCATATCCTGCTCAACTATAAGCATGTTAATCATACGGAGATGGGTTTGTCTTTAACATTTAGAATGAGAAAGGGAGAGGGACATGGCTTTTCAAAGGACAACTTGCAGCGTGGTCATGTGGCAGTCTTAAGTCTGGTGGGTTTCTAACTACGCATCACTTAGAAAGTTTCATATCTTATTGATAATGCCACACAATGATGTCAAGTATTTCGTATGTAACAAGTGCTTCACAACACAAACTACAACCCCAAATGGAAACTCTAACCCTGACTTGATGAGTAAAAATGTTCTCGATAGTTTTGATCGGTGTTCTTCACAGCTGCAATTAAACATCTCAGCCTAATTTAAAAATAAATAGATAAATAAAAGCTTTGAAGTGGGGTGGTAATGGTGTCGGTGGCGGCACACACCGTTAGTCCCAGTGCTCAGGAGGCAGAGGTAGGAGGATCCCTGTGAGTTCGAGGCCAGCCTGCTCTCCAGAGTGAGTTCCAGACAGCCAGGACAAACAGAAACCCTGTCTTGAAAAAAACAAAAACAAAAAACCAAACTAAAAATAAACACAAAAGCTCTGAATATTTAGGAAATTAGCCCTTTTACATTCCATTTGATAATTACCTCCCCGATGTTGTTTATAAGCTGTGGTAAGACTTTGCCATATATAAATTTAAACTCTTTATTAATTCTTACTTAGTGGGAATGATGCTCATATTACTTTTCATTGTTTTCTTTCAAACACTGGCTTTATTTTATGTATTCAGAATCAATTTTGTTCAGGAGGCAGGATCCAGGTTTATTTGGTCAAAATGTCTAATCAATTGTTTCATTAAAAATAACCCACATGCCCCCACTAACTTAACATGCCATGGGAAACTGTGTATTAAATTTCCGTGTAATTTAAGCCAATTCTAGGTCCCCCACTGTGTCCCACTGACCTCTTCTTTGCCACTCCAAACTCCATAATTATTGTTATTTGTCCTGCTATGGATTTGAAGGGCAGATTTTTGACCTTTGCAGGATTTATCTGGCTTATCCTATGTTTACTCTTTCCCAAGAGTGGAATGGGTCAAGTCCAGAAACAAATCTAGCAGGCACTCTGGTAGATTGCATTATATTTAGAATGTAAGCAGAAGGAATCATGCAAGAGGTCCTGTGTCCAGATAAGGTGTGTCTGCATGAATTGGAGTCTCTTGTGTCCTCTTGAAGGGTGCTGACACTGTGAACAGCACCAGGGGTATGGATCCTGCCCACCCTCAATCCCAGGGCACCGTTCAATTCTACTGTCTGTGTCCATTTAACTAAGGCCCCAGCCAGCTCGCTCCGCCTCCTTCCCTGGAGAACATGACCCTGTGACTATTTCTGATCCACCAGGAACAATTACTAATTTCCTAGACATTGTGGCAAATACGACACTGTCCTTGAGCCTAAGGACATGAAATAATGATGTCATCTGTCACAAACCATGCAGCAAGGTGCACTTAAAAGCAGCTTGACCTTGAACAGTTTCCTGAAGCTCTCTGGGAAATGTCAGCACTACTTGACTCAGGCCACAGACCAAGGGATCTAAGAAGACCATGGAAGGGACACCTCACACTCCCTTGCTGGCCCAGAAATGCCAAGGTCTGCTGGCTTCTTCCTGTCCACCACCCTTACCACTTTGTCCTCAGAGCATCCCCAACCCATAAGATACCCCTAGTTAGCCACGACACCAGGGCCAAAGTCACAAGTATAAGATTGTTTTTCTTTTAATTTTCTACAGACACTTCTGAAAAGAGATCTAATAGAGAAAATATACAAAGCATTTGAGAGCTTCACCGCCATGGACAACCCAAGTCTGACCTGAGGCACTAAAGCCTCTCCCAGGCTCAGGGCTGAGGACGGCCAGCACGAACATCAGTTAAAAACATGCAAAAGGAGGAGGAGAAACATCACACACCCCTGGACGGTGGGGATAGATCCAGAACGGAAGAGGCAGCGGGGACGAAAGTACCAGGTGGCTCTCCCTCCAGCTTCCTGGCATGGAGGAAGGCATGGGCTCCACCCACTGCCCAGGGCGGGGCTCTGTGGCCGATGACTTCTGTGCCCACTTGCTCCCGTGTTCCCAGGCGCCAGGCCAGGGTGGCCCAACTCCTCATCTCTTTGGTTCCACTCAGAGAACTGTGCTTGGCAGACTCATCCCACCGTCAAACACCAGGCTCCCGCTGGTGGGATGAAGGCACTGACAGGGATCCCGGGGAGACCCCATGATGGCCGCCACCTCTTGTGCTCTGACGGGTTCAACCCAGGACACATTTCCCCATCCTTAGTCCACACTTAGGCCCAAGGACCAGGAGGAGGGAAGAAGTGTGCTGTGCAAGAAAAAGAAGTCTTTCAGGACTTCCCCCAAAGTGGGGGGCTATGTCTGAACCCCATGCCAAGCCTTACATCCATGCGCTTGCCCCTACCCAGGCTTTCACGTGCCCAGCTCCTCCCTTTAGTCCTTCCCCTTGGCCCAGCCACTGGGGAGCCGACTTAAAACAATGGGTTACAGAAACCAGCTCGGGCGACTGTCCCATCTCGCCCGCTGCACACTTGAAAGACCAGCAGACTCAGAGGTCCCCTTGAGAGATCACAGCCCTGGTACAGGGAGGAGGGTGGGGCTGGAAAGGACGGTGAGACATGTCACATCTATGGAAAAGTGCCCAAGGTACAAGCTAAGCAAAGGGAGGAGGAGGGCCAGAGAGTGGCCAGAAGGAAAGAGGGCAGGGGTGGGCCTGGAGGGGAGGCCTCACACCACCCCACAGATGAGCGTCTCCACCACGAATGTGTTCTCAAAGTGGCGGATGGCATTGCAGTTCTTGGCCCCACGCTTGTTGATCCCTGGGAAGAAAAAGAAAAGTCCCAGTTATGCCTGTGTCAGGCCCAGAAAGGTGGCCAGCCTTTGAGCCAGAGAGGAACCCTGGGACCTAGCAAGGCAGGCAGTGGGAAACCCGGAAAGCGACAACCCCGATCATCACCATGAAGGAGAGAGGGCTCCTAAGTCAGGCTCTGCTGTAAAACCTTCTGGGTGCTACATTAGCCTCTGTGCCTCGGTTTCCTTTAAAATGCAGTTAGACTCAACGGAGCCGATGTGATAATGATGCGGGGAGAAAGGCAATGCTGGCATGTCCTGAGTGCTCGACTGGCATCCGCAGCAGTTAGCTCACAGCTGCTGCTGGGATGGCTGGGCCAGATCCTGTCAGAGGCTGGCTGGGATTTGGAGCCTGGGGCACATCTGACACTCACGCCTCCGGGTAGCCCGGCGCCGCAGCCGGTAGGTGTCCTTCCCGTTACACAGGTGGTAGATGAAGGAACCCAGAGCCTCCTTGTCACTGACATGCTCTGTCACTACCATCTCCTCCTGGATGATGTATGTCTGTGGGAGGTAGGTCCCTCTCTGCAAAGAAGGGATGGGAGTAGTGTCAAAGCGCAGGGTCAGCACCCAGGCCCCTCCCACCGTCCACCTTTCCCTGGGGGTCCCACACGCCCGTTCTATATCTGAAATGACTACTGTCCCAACTCACTACTTTCTACTCCCAGAAGCCTGTCCCATACTGCGGTGAGCTGTGGCATGTGGGCACGTGTGCTCCTGGAGATAGGGAGCTTCCACTTCCCTCCCTAATGACCCAAAGCATGAGTCTGAATGCTGAGGGAGCTGCACTTGACATTCTGTGAGTTGGGGAGGGGAAAGGAGAGATAACACCGAGGGCGCGGCTAGACAGCGGTGGAGAAGCGATTCTTTGGGGTACAGGGACAATGTCCAGGACTCCCCCTTTAGGCTTGGCCTCCTCAGGGAGGGGGCAGGTATGAACAAGGTGTTGCCGACCTTCACATTCATGAGGAGCTCCCAGAAGTTCCGAGGGGGTAGCACAATGGTGGTGTTGAGTTCGATGACGTAGCACTTGTCCAGGGAGATGTCGTGGTAGGCAGTGAGACCCTGAGAGGGAGGGGGTGTCTGTCAGTCTCTGTGTAAGGCACAGGCCTGGACCAGGCCAGCCCGCGGAAGGTTTTTGTTCGACAGAGGCCTGACTCCTCCTGTGACATCAATGGGGCCCAGGATCTCAGAAGTTGTGCCCCCCACCACCCCCAGTTCCTGGACATTGACCTAGGAGCAGCCCGTCCTCCTGCTCTTTTCTAGGCTGGTGGATCTGCCATTAACAGATGAGAGCACACTGGTTTGTTCAATGCCTCCATTGCTACAGATGATCTTTCTGGGGTTTTCAGAGCTAGGGGAGGGGAACGGCATATGTTGATATCCCATTATGCATTTCATCGAAATAGTGAGGTATAGTTGTCCTGGGGAAGAAAGGACCCTTACGGGTCCGACCACCTCCGACCCCCCAGCAAGGTCCCTTGCCTCAGGGAGGAAAGCTCCCCACCAGGCTCCAGAGACTACTGCTACAGAACACACAGATGCTTGGGAGACCTAGGGAAGAAGGCCGGGCCTATGTCTTGCTGACCTCAAAACCAGCCAGAGGCGAGAGTGGTAACCTCAAGGAGGAAGGATCTGACTGGAAAAAAACTAAGAGGGAAGCTTCCAGAGTGCTGGCAGCGAACCAGACTTTCATCTGGGTGGCGTTACACAGATGTTCACTCAGCTGTTCACTCTGATGCTGGATGTACAAATGCGAGCAGACCCAGGGTCCTTGGCCTCATAGGGACAACCAAGCCTTGTAGCTATCAGACAGCCCAGGACAAAGCAGTCTACCCCCACCCCAGTCTACCACTGGCAATAACCAACAGGACTACTATCTTCATGGTAAACACGGTATTGAAAGGCCAGTCAAGGTGACCAAAGACATCTGCTGTACAGTCGATACACAAGCCAAGGATTCTTTGGTACTCTTATTCCTTGCTCTGAGTGCCCAGAACACTCTCCGCTGCCCTAACCCAGATCCCAGCCACCTACTAGCCACCCACAAAATCAGCCTCACCCGCTGGAAGTCATGGATAATGTCCGCAGGGTCGCCGCCACCAAACTGGGGCACGGGGACATTGATGCGTTCATAGTTCTCCTCAAGGTAGATTTTCACATCTTCCTCCAGCTCCATGCGAGTCCGGATCTGGGAGGACAGGGAGTCTTCGTAGAGCACGCCACAGTGAAAGAGGTTGTCTCGGGCCAGCTGCACATGGTGAGGGGAGAGACAGACGGTCACACAGGGTAGTGACATGGCCACACTGCCTATCTGCCTACTTCAGACCCTGGAAGCAGGAAGGGCAAGACCTAAGACTTTCTCAGAGACAGAGAAACAGAACGGGGAGGTAGGTCCCACATCTGCTAGCGAGGAGATAAGCTGGGTCTTGCGGAAGTCCCTTCAGCCTCACAAATGGAGGACTGGATAAACAGGTTCCTAGGTGGAAGACCACTCTGAGCCTCAGCTTCCCTAACTGTAAAGCTTATGATCTCAAAGGTCTGCCAGGCTTCAAAGCCCTAGAGTCTGTGAAATGGCCCTGCAAATAGCCCTGTGGATGGACAGAGCAGTAAATCCCATAGAAAGCTTGAGTAGGCAGGAGGGACAAGCCAAGGGATGAACAGGCTGTGCCTGTGGGGCACCACCAGGGTTGCCCACCTGCAGACACCTGGGTAGAAGATAAGGTGGGAAGCTGGCAAGCTCCAAGACAATGCCACAGCATCCCCATGCTCTTCCTGTGGATAAATCCCACCCCCACCCCCTGGCCCTGAGGCCCTACCCCATCAGGCAGATGGCTACATCACCCATCATCCAGGGGAAGTAACTGAGTGATGGGACCAGCGCTGTCTCCTGTAGGGACTCAGAGGCTCCTAGAGCTCCATGATGTGTACGTGATGGGCAGAATTCCCTCCCACTTCTGAGTCTGAGGAGAAACTCTGCCGGGATGAAACACCCTGACCATGTGGGAGCCCTGAGGGCTTAGGAAGCCCAAGGAAGACCAGATGCTGGGGCAGACACGATATAGCCTTCAGGCCAACTGTAGGCTGTCCTGGGGACAGTCTGGAGCATCCACACTACCTGGGAAGTAGAGCGGGGCGACCAATCCTATAAAAGTACAAGTGGGGTCTGGGAAGAAAGGAGACAGAGCAGGGACACCGGAGGAAAAGGCCAGGAGAGAGTCCTGTACCAGAGAAGGAAGAGGTACCTGGCAAAGGCTAGCCTTGCAGATTTAGTTAGTTAGCCTGCTTTCAGGGCAAGTTCCAAAGGGGAGAGATGTAGGAGTTGAGGTCTCTAGGGGACAGTCCCACAGAGCACAAACACTCAGGTAATGTCTAGTGTGCAAAAGCTAGATGGCAACAACCTTAAACACTTAAGGGATATGGGGGGCGGTCAGCTGGGTCCCCAGTGACTAGGAAACCCTAGCCCGTAAGTCGCCCTGGGTGTCCGTTGATATATCCATGCTTTATCTCTCAAGCTACTTATAATGTAACTGATTTCAGTACTCAAGAATGGTGATCCTTCCCTTCCCCCCCCAGTCTGGGTGATCCAGCTTTGGGCTTAGCTCTCCAGTGTGTGTGTGCTGGACTAAGACAAGAAAGCTCCTCGGTAGACCTACCATTGCTTGAAGCAGGCCATGGTCAACCATGCATAAGCCGCCTGGGGCTCAAAACCCAAATGTCCAATGCAAGGAACAATTCAGCCATCCATGATGTATGACCCCTAGATACAGGGTCTGTGTTCCAGAGAGAATCATAAGCTCCCGACTTCTTTCTTAGTGACAACACTTCAGAGTGCCACTGGTCACTGGTGAGGGGTAGGGATGGGGATGGGGGGATCCTTGATTGACTCTCCAGAATAAGAGGTGAGCCCGGGCAAGGGGACCCTGGGAAGGAATGAGGACTGTCCTCTAGGCATGCCTGGGGGGGGGGTTCTACTGTCTCTCCTCATGCTCTCCACTGTTCCCACACCCTCAGCAGACTCCCTTTACCCATGTCTTGGTGCTGCCCTTCCCCCACCCACCCGCCTGGCTCCTCACCTGAGCAAGGAAGAAGTATCTGTAGATGTAGACGGAGGCAAAGACAAGGCCCATAAGCAGCACAACCATGCCCATTGATAGGTAGCACACACCACCCACAGAGCCCCCTTTCCTGGAGCGGTGGCGAGGGGGGGCGTTCCTCCTGTGAACAGAAGTGCTGTGGTCAGTGAGGTGCCCAGAGGGCCCCACTCTCCTGAATTCCTCATCTCCTAAGTGGGATCACCCCTCCGTCTGGGCTGAGCGCTGGGGTGGGGGTGAGGGCAGAAGGGCAACACAGATTTCTGAAAGGCAAGGAGCCTTGACAAAGTCTCCGGACCCCCTCCCAGCTAGAAAGAAATTGAGACTTGCCTGAAAGGCCTAAGACAATCAGCCTGGACTAAACACACACACTTTGAATTGCCTGAATGCCAATCCTGTTACTGGACCAGCTTAACCACTCCAGTGGTTCTCAACCTGTGGTTCTCCACCCCTCTGGCAAGTCTCTTCCCCCCCCAAATATGCATTACAATTCATAACAGCAGCAAAATTACAGTTATGAAGGAGCAATGAAAATAATTTTATGGTTGGGGGGATCATCCCAACATGAGGAACAGTTAGTAGTTTATTGGAAGGTTGACAACCATTGTGTTAGTTATTCAAACATAAACTAAGGCACATCAGACGGCCTGCGCGATTGGATTAGTCCAAGGAGTTCATGGGAAGGAGAATGAATCTGGTAGGCTAGGTGCCACTGTCCTAGGTAACAGGGAGCCAAGAAAGCAGAGCTAGAGAGTGACAAGATGCAACCCAACTGGAGGCAAAGGATGGACTGGGATGAGGACAGGGGGTGATGGGGGCATGTATTAGCTAGTTTTCTTATTGCTATGAACCCTGATAAGAAACCACCAGAGGAGAGTCTGTCTAAGTTCACGGTCCATCACGGTGTGGACTTGCACAGTATATGCTCGCATCTGGGAAATCAAGTGGCAGACAGATGAATGCTGGCACTCAACTAGCTTCCTCCACTTTCCCTTTTATTCAGCCTGAGACTTCAGCCCATAGGTTAGTGCTACCCATATTCGGGGTGGCTGGGTCTTTCCCCGCTCCATTAAATGCCTCTGGGAGAGCCTCCACACACACACATGCAAAGGTATGTATATTAATGCCCTAAGTGTGTCTTAATCTAATTGGGCTGACAAGTGAAATTAGCCAATCACAGGCGGGTGTAGACGGTTCTGAACTCTACCAAGGTGGCCACTGACTGAGAGAGGCCTAGAGGATGTGGGCAAAGGTGCTTATCTCTAACCAAGTAGCCCTTGGCTTGCAGTCCCCTGTACTAAACTGTCCCTCTGTTGTGTCAGGCAGGCTGTCATAAGCAGAGTCTACAAGACGGAACCTGAAGCTCCTGGAAGTCTCACTAGGAAAGAAACACGACTGTCTGGGAGGCCACAAGTCCCATGAAAGAAACTCCTTCAGGAGCCAGACTTGGGCTCGGCATGCAGGGCTCTCAGACCCATCTCTAGACCACACATGTCTGTGCTGGTGGGTGGTCTGTGTATGAGTATAAACTCAACAGGACTACTTGGCCTGGAACGGACTTGTGGGCCACCTCTTAACTATCTCTTTGCATGACCTTTCTCCCCCTACAGCAGCCCAGGCTGGCCCTCATTTATTCTTGGTGATGCTACAGGTATCACCAGGTTTGTTTCTGCCTCTACCACTTACCCTGTCATTTTTTTACACTGCTCAGACATGGCCAAGAGAGGTCAAAGGTCAGTATCCACAGAACTCCCTTCCCAGTCTTGGGAAGATGAAGCTGATTGGGGAATGGAGTTTCTCCATTGGCCTTAAATAAACAGGTTTTGATTGGCCCCTCCTCCACTGACCCCCTCTACACAGTGTGGGATTATGTTATTTCTCTTTTTTTTTTCTAGAGGTGTTGGGTGGGTGAAGACATGGCTCTGTCTAATTACTTAGGACAAGCCTTTATCTTAACACAGCAAAGGGGTCCTGGGATGTCCACCAGAGGGTCTGATTCCCCAGTTTGGTACTCTCCAACCCAACCTCTAGGAAAAGGACAGAAAACGTCTTGGGTTCCCACATTCACAGTGGGGACCCTCCCACAAGATCAAACCTTGGCCACCCTGCACCCTTAAGGAAACTGGTTTAGGACAGCTGCTGACCAGAGGGGCAAGGGGCTGCAATGGCTTTGCAATTGCACTTTGCAATGGTCCTATGGGGTGACATCAACATCTACACTCCCTCAGCATCTCCCATGAACAAGCCACCCGGGGTTCTTATAAACAAGACAGCCAAAGGCGCTGTACTAGCCTGCTCCTGTGATCATAAGGCGTCTAGTGGCCTGGCATGGTGGCACGAAGAATTTGGGAGGCAGAAGCAGAGGCAGGTGGATCTCTGTGATCTGAGGCCAGCCTGGTTTACAAATGATTTCCAGGCTAGCCAGAGTTGTTACACAGACAAACCCTGTCTTGAAAAACAAACAAAAATGGTGGCTAGCTTAGAGGCAGGAAGGATTGCCCTTTGGCACAATACATTCCAAGACCACACTGTATCTAGAGGGTTGGTAGGGACACAGGGTCCAGAGCAGGGGTGGCCAGGGATCGCCAATAGGACATCCATCTTGGGGTTATCTGAGGTGACCAGCCTTCAGGGATTAAGAGAGACAGTGAACCTGAAAGCTCTTTGTTGAGGATACAGTATGGGATAAAAATAGTAGATCTATGGGCCGGGCCTTTCCTTTTAGGGCCGCCACTGTGGCCAGCTGTTGAGGCTGCACAGTGGCTAATCTTTCTCCTCTTGTGTTTCTGGAAAATCGGAAAAGCTAGCTTGGGAAAGCTAGCAAGGAAATAAAATAGGATTGGGGGAGGGGCACAGGCGAACTACAAGTGAGAGCCTGCTACCCACATAAAAATCACAGATGAGCCGAGGCTGTCCAGTCTTACATCTGTGGCCAACTTGCTAGCCTGGGAAGCTCGGGCCAGTCCAGGTCTGCATGGACTGAGGGAGGGGATGGGCGCAGAGGCTTCCTGAAGGGAGGCAGGGAAGGTCAGTGAGGATCTAGCAGGCAGGAGTTGAGGCTGCAATGGCCCCAGGTGAAGGAAGAATGGTCATGCTCTGGCCAGGACCCTTGACTGGAAAGACTGGGAATCCCCCTCACCTTTCCCAGCTGGGATGGTAACTCCACACATTCAGGAGTCAGAACAAGGAGGGAGATCAAAACATTCCACTCTAAAGATATTTCTTTGATGGATTCCCAGTTGGTTATTAGACAAAGTACAGCCCTCTGCAGATGTGGGCTGGCTCTGAAAGCTGCTCTTTTTATGAAAGGAATTGTCATCCATCTGCACCAGAGGAGTACCCAGAGGTACTTGTCCCTCAGATCCCATGCCTGTCTGGGGAAGATCTTCCGGCAACAGAGCAGCAGGGACTGACCTCAGACACACAGCTTGCCCTGCGTGGTCTTCCCACAAGTAACCGTTACCTGGGAAACATGCTCTGCAGATGTTCACCTTGCCCCATGACTTGCATGGCCACCGACAGCTGCCTCAGCAGCTATGGTCAGCTATGGTCTTTTCTTTAAGCCTTCGGTTTTGTTTATGGCTCCTATTTTGATGCATATATGAAATTTAGTTTGTTTCTCCTGTGAATCCGTTTCCTGTCTGTTTAGTTCGTTTCATGATCTAAAATTACCAAGTCCTTCAGAGGGAAAAAGGAAAGCATAAATCTTTCCTATGCTAACAATGGCCCTTGTTCACCTCTTCTGACACAAAGCTGGGGCCTCCAGCTTTGCTGCCCATCCACCACTTGGGCCTGTTGAGCCGAACCGTCGGAGACATAGGACGGAGAAGTATGGCTGGAAGTGAGGGCTGACAAGGAAACCTAGGACGTCCATGAATGAAGACAAAAACCCCCAGCACTGCTTTGGCCTGCTGGACACAATCAACGCCAAGGATTAAATTCCAACCCTGGAAGCTGAGGTTACCTCAGTCTGTGATCTCACACAAGCTGAGACCTTTGGGGTATGAGGACCATGGGGGAGCAGTGGCCAGTCAGCCTTCCTGAGGGCATAACTTCCACTCTAGCTGCTTCCCCCTCTTGTCCTGATCCCCCTCCTGCCCTAGAATAGTTATCAACAGCCAGGCATTGGGGGACTTCCCTTTAGAAAGTGGGAAGATGGTGCATACTGTTTCCAAGGCAACAAGCCCTCTGAGCAAAATGCCTCTCCCGAATATACACCCTCAAGTTAGGGATGTGACCTGAGAGGGACCTGGGCCTCAGCCTTCAGGCTTTCTTGGTCCTTTCAACAGTGCTTGTGAGATAATTAGCAAGGCCTGGGGCAAAATGGATAGGGAACCACCAACTGAAACACAAGTAGGCTGAGACACAGTTCAAAGAACTCTACCGCCCCTCAGTAACAATGCCAAAATCTAAGTGGACTATGTTACAATTGCAGGCTACTTGGTGGGAGGCAGAGGAGAGCAGATACAGACTTTGCAAGCACCAATGAAAGTCTGAGAACTTTGAAGTGGTCCCCACCCCAATTCTGTTCTTGGCATTTTTTTTTTTTTTTCTCTTTCCTAGGCTGCAGGCTGCAGTTCACAGAGGATGCCAAAGGGTGTGTGTGAGACAGACCTACAGACAGACCAAGGCCTTGCTGGGGGTGGGAGGGAGGCAAATGCCTATTCTCCCCGAGCAATAGTGCATAGATATCACCTGAGCATCTGCCAAGGCTCAGAGATTTTCTATTAGTGACCTCCTACCCCTACCCACTCCAGCCTGAGGCTTCTGGGGTGGTTTCAGCTATGAGAATCACTGTGCTCGGCTGGACCCAGAATTCTCTCTTCTCCTCCATCCTGACAGGCCAGGCTTCTCCAGAAAACAAAGGCCCAGAAAGGGTCTGAAGCAGAAAGACACAAGGCTGAAGGCTGGAAAAGCCTTCACTCACAAAGAAAGAACCAGGGACTCCCAGGACAGAGGGTAAAGCCCAGCTGTGTGACTGAGCTTTTAATCATAAACATTTTTCCCCCCCTTGGGAACAGAAACTCCCCCTCACAAGCAGTCTGCTGACAGCCTTGAACAGTAGAGCCAGGGGAAAACAGAAAGGAGAGGGAGCCAGCAGAGGGAGAGGGGGGGTGCAGAAAAACCCGGCAGAGCAACTCCTGGAAGTTCCCACTGTACTAACATGGGGAAGGACATCGGGCTGGGCTGCCTCTTTGAAGGTCATTACGGCCCAGCTCTCCCAGCCAGGAAGACCAGGTCTCCTAGCTGGCAAGGAACAGACAGACCTTCTCCTTACTGGTCCTCCTGCCAAAAGCCTAAAGACAGAGGCACAGGGACACTGACAGACACACGGACACACACACACACACAGTGAAATCTGACCCACAGGTATGTGGGCTGAGGGAGGGGGAGTTACTCAAGGGCCATTAATCAAAGACAAATGCCAATGAGAAAATTACAGGGCTGCGAAGATTGCTGAATTGAATGTGTTTTCTTCTTTGCAGCCCCCAGCCCTGCGGCTTGTCCATGTGCACACATGTGTGCTCAGTCAGTCGGTGGGAGAGGGATGAGAATGGACCTGGGGAGGGGGGGGAGTGGCCACTTGGGTCCATGCTGCAGTTGGGGCAGGCGGTCTCGAACACATGCTCCAATGACCAGCTTCCCACTCAGGTCCATGCCACAGCTGTAGGTTCCTCATTATTGACGTCTAACTGTCATGGGAGATGCTGGGTAGTTGTAGGCCCGGCGGGCTCCCCAACCCCACCCCTTCTCCAGCCAGCCGAGGCCCTTCCTTGTAGCCTCATGTCTGGGGACAAATCTTGCTCCAGTATTTGCTCACAAGGAGGGGCAGGCCCTGTGGGGAGGCTCCCTGCTGCAGCCTTCCCTCACCACCCTCCTCCCTCCACACACACCACGCCTGGACACAGGCTGACAGCAGCCCAAAGGCCCTGGCTCTCCCATCTGTTTCAGTGGTCTTTCTTGGGATCACAGGTTTTGAGCCAGAACACCAAGGTGGGGCTCCAGGGTCACTGACAATTAGAGAGTCCTTCTTCTAAGCTGTCTCATGTCTCGTCATCAGTATGGAACAAAATCTAAAAGCCTTGCCTTGATAAAGGGCACTCAGGCCTCTACATCCACCAACCAGTCCCTCTAGACCCACGGCTCACATCTCAGGGCCCTGCCAATGGCTCACGCTGTCTTAAACTACACATGGGCCTCTGCCTGCTCTTAACTGCCAAGCCAGTAACTGAGCAAGGGGAAACATGCCTGCTGGCATTGTAGAACAAGAAGAAGCCTGCAGGAGTGCGCTGTCTTTCAAGGTCCTAGCTGCAGCTGAGACAGACAAAGCCAACACTCAACATCAACGGCTCCATGACACCAGCTCAGAGACTGGGCAAGCCATAGCGAGTTAACCAATAAACAGTTCTGTCTGAAAATGTAGGTATTTTAATCCCTCCTCCCTCCTGACTGTCCAGCCTGCTTCCCTACGATCCCACCAGGCCAATCGTGATAGAGGAGGCTGCTCTGCAGGCTCTAGGCCATTACTAACAGCACACAGGGCAGGGCAAGGTTGATATTTCCATTTCCCGCTGGTTGAGGGCAAGGTGGGCTGCTGAGCTTGGGGAGTCTAATAAAAGCAGGAAGCTGGACACTGGTTGTCTCTCAACAAACGTGCTGCCTATTTGGAAATGGTTACCAAGAGGGGCTGCTGAAACAGTACTGAAAATTTGTCTTCGTGGGGGAGATTTGAATCCACCAAAAAATGATATGAAGAGCAATTTCAGGGATACAGGCAAGCCTCCCCCTCCCCCAATGATAAAGAAAAGATCATTTCATAGGAAGAAGGCATTAAAGGGTGAGCACTTGGCCCACAGAGACAACCATTGGTGGTCTTTAGACAGCTGTTGCCAGGGACGTTTTGCTTGGATAAGGCCTCTTTTGTTTCTGGGACACTTTACTTCCCCTCACTTAGCCTCTGATCACTTACACTATGTAAAAACCAACTACAATGAGGCTCATATTTTCTGTACGGCTTCTTGATTATTAAGGTGTCTTTTGTGTTAATCAGTATATTGCCATGTTATTACACAGACTTATATAACTAACTCTTCCGAGGTTTATAAGAAAACTTGTAATTTCTTCACACTGGGCTCAGCCATCCTATCCAGCACCATCAGCAGGCTGCCCTAGTACATGCCCTGTGTAGAATCCTCGGGGACTTCCTTCTCAAGGGGTGATAATGACATTCTCTGGTTGCTCAACATAGTCCTCCTTCCTTAGATCTGTGGCTTTTAGGTACTTGGGTTCCAGTCCCAGGTCTTAACTGGGTACCTGAGACCAGACAATCTACCACTTACCAGTTCCTGGGGCCCCTTACCAAGGCTGGCAGGAAAGGAGGAGGGCCCCTCCCTGAAGTAATAAAAGAGGCTTAAGAGCCCCAGGGCCAACCCTTGCATTGCAAACCAGTTCAAGTATCTAAAGACTCTATCCAGTCTTCAGATGAAGGAGCTGCTCATGTGGGGGTGCCCAGGGACCCTTCAACCCCGGCCTGGGTGGCCACGGAATTCTTGTTGGTATATGAACTGCGGGATGCTGCAGTGACTAAAACAAGGGCTCCGGTACTGCCCAGGTCCCTGGCATTCTTCGGAGTCATAGTCTGCTAGACTGGCCCACTTCTGCATGACCCTCTCTTCTAGATCATTCTCTAGTATTGGCTCGCTAGGGCAAGACTGAAACAGAGCTTCCAAACTTGGTTTGCGGAGGAGGAAGTGCTGGGGCATTCTTAGTTCTGCCTGGGGTGGCCCAGGACCGCTTGGGGGCGTGTGACAAGAAAACACCCTTATTGAAGCAAAATGAAGCTCGGCTGGGTCAGCTTTTCTTTCCCTGTACTCCGGTCGGTGATTGCCTCGAGTCCTCCCCACAAAACACTCCACACAGCACAGTTTTCCACGGCGGAAATGACTTGCTTGGGTCGCTCAGCCAGGGGAAGGCGGAGTACACCGAGGCCACTCCGCCCGCACAAAGCCAGCTGAGTGACTAGGGATGCCAGGGGCACCGGGGCAGTGGGCATCCCACGCAGCAGAAAGTAACTGCAGCTGGAGGCTGGATAAGGAAGCTGGACCCGCAGTTGTGAAATCGGAGAAGGTTCATCACTTTAAGGTCTGCCACGTCCACGCCATCCTTCACCCACCACAGCCCCCCATTTGGGGACCAAACCAATGTCACCCCCCCTTTTGTTACTAAGCAGAGTTTCCCATCTAATTCCCCAACTAATCAGGCCCCATCACCCTGCTATGGGGAAACTACGTTCAACCCTCCTCCCATCCCCCACCCAGGGACTGGCTTCCCGGCCCCTCCCCCTTGATTAGAACCAGACGCAAACCCTCATCAACATTCCCCAAACTTTCATGGGCCTGCCACCTCCCTTTATCTTGGAACTGGGCACCTAGGGGTCTCCACATTTGGAAGAGACTCTGTGTGCGTCCCCACTTTAGGACAGCTTTGCTTTCGATGCCGCTTTGGGGTAGGACCCAAGACCCTTTTCTAGCTAGGGATGTACCAGCCTTTTCAGACCTCTCTCCCCGACTCCGCTCGTAGCTCCGGGGTCCCACTGGTTCTCGCTGCCACTGGGGTGTGCCTAGATCCCTCGACACCCCCACCACCCCCATCGAGAACCGGTGCCTCTCACCCTCGCCGGCGTCAGCAGGATCTCCGCAGCCGGGGCAGATGCCGAGGCCGGGCCAGAGGCTGCTGCCTTTTCGGCCTTATCGGCCTTGATGCCCACCACTGCGGGCTGGAAACTGATCTTCACCATGGCTGCGCTGACCCGCGCCTGCTCCCTGTAGCCTCTGCCTGTGCAACCTCGATCAGTGCGGCTGCTGCCTCTTACTGCGCTGCAGGCACCGGAAGTTTAGATGGCTCCGGAGTCCTAGCCTCTAACCCCGCCCCGAACGCGCCCCCGCCCTCCACGGAAGGAATTGACGCCTGCGCCGAGCTGCACCTCCCAGCGCTGTAGCTGAAGGTTGAGGTTCCTTTCCACCTCTCGCTCACAGTCATTCAGGCGTCGCGCGGGAGCTCGGTCCCCTGCTTTCTCCCTGCCCATGACCTAACATGTCGTTCAACACGGCGTTGCCTGGCAACGTGCTTCTAACAAACTGCATCTCCCAGCTCCTCGACTTTGCCTCCTCTTTGGAGATACTGACACCCCCCCCCCCCATCTGCTCCTGGGCTTTCCTCTTCCAACATGTTCAACATGTTTTAGGCTGGAAAGGGCTTCAAGTCCAAGAGCCTAACTGCTTGCCTCTATCCTGTATGCTGTATTCATCCCCTCCCCCTCCATTCTCCACCATGCCTCTTTATCCTTCATCCTGCGAAACCTTCAGGGAGAGGGGGTGGGGAACTTGTGGTGCACAGGACCAGTGATACCTTGCAGGAGCTGAGTCGTGACTGGAAGATAATGAGAATTACTGGGGCTAGATCACAGGTTTGGGGTTCCATTCACGCAAAGTATCAGCGGTACTGGGTACTGGGGAGAAGCCAAGGCTTGGGTTGCGGGTCTCTTGACAACGAAGCCCTGGATCTTTTCTCACTGTCCCTCCTCCAGGCTGTGATAGCACCCAGCATGTGGCACTTGGTGTCCGTTCTGCCGTGGTGCTGATAATGGAAGGTAGGACATTGTGCCAGCTCATTATTGAGGACAGCCTTAAGCCTTTGATGCCAGGTGCTAGACCAGTAGACCTTGGTTTAGATCTTGCATGAGCCAGGCAGTCCAGGAGACAGACAGCTCAAGAAGGTAGAACATGTAAATGATGTTAAGCTACTGGCACTGGAGGAACTGAGAGGGAGCTCTCCATACAGGAAAGGCAAACACGGAACCAGACTCAGTGTCTGCTCCAGTGAGGACTAAACATTACCCTTTCCATGAAGGAAGTGGTCCAGTGTAAACAACCTGCCACCATGGTACTGGCTGGTCACCCCGGGAATGGTTCTCAGTGTTAGCCACGGCTGCTGGCAGATCTGGCACTCAGCCACAGCTGCAGCCAGATTGCTTTGGTGAGTGGAGTCCATGTGGCCGAGTCCCCGCATAACCCCATCTCAACCACCATGGCCACTTTGTTCATGGTGGGGATGGCTGGAGAAAGAAGCTGACCTTCCACAGGATGGATCATCCTAGCTATCAGATTACTGAGCTCCTTCTCAGTTGAAGTCACACTTTGATGAGCATGATGTGGGACACGAGCATCTTCACATCCACTGCCCATCTGAGAGATCTATCCACACATTTCTTCCCCAGATGTCTCTCTCACCAATGTTCCAACCATGCTCTTTCTAAGTCCTGGCCATGTGGCCAATCCATTGGCACATCTGGCAGTTTCTCTTCCCAAACAAAATGGATGACCATGTGTACTGCCTGACATTCTGCCCACCGTGAAGGTCCCCTTCCCCGGTGTCTTTCAGAGTTGTCCCAGAAGGAGATGGCAATGATGCCACTTTTAGTGCCTGTCTTTAGTGGAGAACAGTCAGTAAACAAGACGACACTCTCCCTTGGTCTCTGTCACAGGACACCACTGTAATTTAGCAAGTTCGCCCTCTGGAGTCCACTCCAAGATGAAATTCACTAATTCCCAGTGCCTTCCTTTTGCTCTGTGTGGCTCTGAATTGCTTAGGGCTGGTTTAATGAAATACCTGACCAAGAGACAGGAGAACATTAACAGACACACAGACCATCATCCTTCTTTCTGTCACAGCTTGAGATCCAAGAACAACCACTATGCTCATTTCCTATATGAGCCTTGATTATTAAAAACAAACACTTCATACACACGCGTCTCATGGTATGTGACTTTTGTGCGTGTTTGGATCCTGAACACTAGGATTGTGGGAGTCTTTCCTGTGGTGGGAACCAGTAGCCAGGTCGTTCATGTTGTGTAATACTCTAGTGTGTCCCACAATTTGTTTCTCAATTCCAGAATTGGGAGCTGTTTTGATGTTATCTAGATAGAAGCTACCACAAAAAAAAAAAAAAAAAAAGCTATCACAGACAGCTGTCACAACTGGCCCCAGTCACTGATGAACACTCACTGTGGGGCACCTCCCTGGGAAGTGAGTCTCACTTTGTGACAGATGACTTGAGTTCCAGAAGTGCCTAGGCCTGGGTGATAGAGCAGACCACTCGCACTTTTCACCGCCATCACGCCACACACTGGATCCAGGGCTGCTCCACAGAGCTAGCGTGCCCCTGCACTAGCTGGAGGAAAGGCTTTAGGGAAGGGGATATGGTGGCTGCCTGGAGATGGAAGATCAGATCTGGGCCCCCACCACTTCCTCACACAGGGGCCTCCTCACGAAGTTTCTTAATCTCCCCAGAAGGCTGGTCTGCAGCAGTGATAGAGGACAGTTACCCCAGTTGCTCTGGCTGGCACATACCATCAGTACTAAGCTAGAAAGATCACAGGCAAACAGTTCCCTCCACAGTGGTGACTATGATGTAACATTTCTTGGAATCGTTTTCATTTTACTCTATTAATAAGTGAGTGGAGGGGCTATGTACTTGGCGCGATACACGTGGAATAAACTGTGTGAATTGCGCAGAGGCCAAAGGTTGACCCTGGGTGTCTTCCGCTATTGCTTGCCCCTATTCCCTTAAGATGGGGTCTCTCACTGAACCTGAAACTGCTGGCTAGTGAGTTTCCAGGAGTCACCTGACTCTGTCCCCTCCTCCAACCATGTGCTCTGGGGATTTTAAACTCAGCTCCTCAAGCTTTTACATAGCAAGAACTCTACCCACTGAGCCATCTTAGTTCAGTAAGAAATTTTATAACCTAAGGTTTTTGTTTGTTTATTAGGTTGGTTGGGTTGTTTTCTTTCCTCCCTTCCTTCCTTCCTTCCTTCCTTTTGTTTTTTGTTTTGTTTTGGTTTGAGTTTTCAAGACAGAGTTTCTCTGTAGCTTGGAGGCAGTCCTGGAACTCCATCTGTAGACTAGACTGGCCTCAGACTCACAGAGATCTGCCTGCCTCTACTTCCTGGGTGCTGAGATTAAATATGTGTGCCACCACCACTGGCTTGTTTTTGTTTTTTGAGACAGGGTCTCTCTGTGTAGATCTGGCTGTCCTGGAACTCTCTCTGTAGACCAGGCCACCCTTGAACTTACAGAGAATAACCTAAGTTTTTAAAAGGCACAACATTCCACCACCGGTTTATAATACAAATGGGTGGAAAGATACAACATTCTTGTAAGGTAAGATAATAAAATCGCTGGTTCTCCCTCAAAGTAAAGCAGATGTGATGAAAGCCCTAAAGGATTTGGGGGGACAGATAACAAGGAGAGAATGGAAATTCTGTCTTAAAAAGCCAGGCGCTACAATTGCCAGCAACTGTAAGAGAAAAGGAAGTGTGATGGCTATTCTCGGTTGTCAGATTGATCACATCTGAAATAACTAAAACCCAAGCATCTGGGATGCCTGTGAGGGATTCAGTTTTTTAATTAAATCATTGGAAGACAGAAGACCCACTTTTAACCCCGATTCTGGGCCACACTGTCTGCTGGCAGCCTATATATAAAGGGTATGGAGGAAGGAAGCTTGCTCTCTTTGCAGGCTTGTCCTCACTCTAGCTGGAAAGTCCATTCCTTTGCTGGCATTAGAGCCTATTTCTATGGGATTCTGGTGTGTGCTGAAGACCAGCTGAGACAGCCAGCCTCATGGACTGAACAACTGCTGGGTTTTCAGACCAGTAGACAGCCATTGTTGGAGTAGCTGAACCCCATTCTGTAAGTCATTCTAATCATTCCCTTTTATAAGTGTATACACACACACACACACACACACACACACACACACACACATATGTATTATACAAGTATATATGTACACACATATATTTATATCAGTTCTGTTCCCCTAGAGAACCCTGGCTAATGCAGAAGTAAGATGGCTGGAGAAGCTGACGCAACCAAAGTAACAATGTGAGAAGGAAATGTTAACGAGATAAAACACACACTGGGGACTTTCCAAGTTTACCACAACTCCTGATGGACGCTTGAAATATTTACATATTTGAATGTATCATGAATGATAGCCTTGCATTCTGTGGGAACATGGCGAATACAGTGTAGATGTATTTTAAAGGCTCATGTGCTGGGGACCTGGTCCTTATTGTGGGTATGTTAGGAGGTAGGGCCTGGTGGAGGTATTTCAGTCCTAATTGGGGTCATTGCTCTTGGAGGAACTGAGGTATTTCTTATGGGATTCTCATCCTTTCTTGTGGGAAGGCTGTCAGGGAAGCTAGAACCTAGCTCTACTCAGTCTCTCTGGATTTGGGTTTACAAGCTGCTTAGGTGTCCAGGAGCAACGTCAGCACCATGCTCTTGATCCTTTAAAAGCATGAGTTCAATATGCCTCCTTCAGTCATTGTTGGCCTGCCTGACGTATTTTGTTATAATAATAAAAGACTAATCCAATGGAAAACTGGAAGAACTCATAAGTATATTGGAGGCAGGGTACTTTTGAAAGAATCAACAAGAGAGATAGTCTCTAGAAAATATAATTAACAATGGGAGAAAATGTCAATACAAAAAGAATGATTTTAAACTATAGGTAGGGTAGATGTACAAGTTATAAGAGCCCTTTACATACAGTCCTCTCTGATAAACATTGTAAAGTGAGTGATTTTTTTTTTCAGAAAACTATAAATGGCCAAAATGGACTAGAGAAGAAGCAGAAATTCAGAATAGCCTATAATCGAGAAAACTATTGAAAAATGTTCTCAGGCAATTATCTCTCCCAAAATGGCTCTGAACAGGCAAGCCATCCAGTTGGATACCTCTCTCAAATGGAAGGAACAGCAAATTCTACTGGTGTGTCAATTAATTTTAGGTAAAGATACATTCTGACACAGGAATCTTGAGAAACACAAAAGGAA